CCCCAAAACCCCAAAACCCCAAAACCCCGCAAAGAATTAAATAGCTAATTAAGAGGAAGTAATAATTTAAATTGTTTATCAAATTAATAATTGTGAATATAATTGATAAAATATGAGCAGTAAAAACAAGCAGTAATAAAGCAAGAACTAACAGTAAGAGTAGGATATGCAGAAACCCTCTAATAAAGTTCCTTCAAGGCAGAATACTAAGCAGAAAATGGACTCATTAGAGATTGAAGGTAGACAGGGCTTGCTCAAGTAGAGAATCACTGTAGATGATATAGTGAGAGAAATTCCTTTCGGCAGATTCCAATACCTAATGATATTTATTTTCCATTTGATCTACAGTGCTCCTTCTATAGTTGTTTACAATTACGCTTTCTTCCTGATGTTCCCGAAGTATCTATGCAAGCAGGAAGATATGAGTTTTGATTACTGCACGAGAGAGCAGAAGTGCGATTTTTAAATGAATATGGACATTGAGTAAGACTTCTAATCGGAGATTGACTGGAACTCCCCATACAGTCTGCGCAATTGGATCATGAAACTTGGCTTAGAGTGTAGTGAGACCTATGTTATTGGACTTTTTGGTACTCTTGAGTTTCTTGGTCAACTTTTCGCATGCTTTGTCTACCCACCTCTCGCTGATTATTGCGGAAGAAGAATTTTTACCTTTATCGGATTGGGAATGTAAACAGTAGTGTTCGTTGGGTTAGTAGCGTTTAAAAATTTTGAATTATTCTACCTGCTGATCTTTATCCTCGGTAATGCTGTAATAATCAGATATTTAATTGTCTACGCGCATCTCATGGAGTTTGTTGCAACCAAGCAAAACCTTATTACTGGTATTTTCTTGTTTATGGATGGCTTAGTTTATATTTATAGCCCTGTTATTATTGTATACTTCACAAGGAAAACTTAGTATTTTGTATACATGGCTTTAGGATTAAGTATTGGAGCAGTGGTATTATTAGCTTTTATATTTCACATGCCAGAATCCTTAAAGTTCTCACTGGTTAAATAAGACATTATGAAGTTTTAGAGTGATATGGATTACATCTGTACAATGAATAAAGCATCCGAGCAGTAGGTTGACAAAATCAATAGCTTGGTTGAGAAATACTGTAACTAAGTCAGAGAAGATGCCCTCTTAATTGGAGTTAAAGTTAAACAGCCCGGACTTATAAAGTAAATCCTGAGTGACAGAGATGCATTAGTGAATCTCATGCTGATGGTGGTATGCTGGGCTAGCACCACTTTTACCTATTTCTTAGTTATTTTCTATGTAAAGTACTTGCCAGGTGATATTTATTACAATCAAATAGTTTCTAGTTTCTCAGTATTTGCCTATCTAGTGGCTCCATTTATGGCTAGAAAGTATGACAATAAAATGATCATGCTAATTGGTTACATCATTTCATTCATATTCTTGGTAATTATGATCATCTTCTAGTTTGTTGAAATTGATGCCGTAGCATACTCCTTCATATTTTTGCTCTTTAAATGCGGAGTTACTCTTACTTTCCTATCACTTTTTATTATACACACTGACTTGTTTCACATTTAGTTCTTAGCCACAAGCTACGGTATTTGCAATATAGTAAGTAGAATCATTACTTTGGGTGCGCCTATAGTTGCAGAGTTAGACAGCAAACTGGCTCCTATGCTCTTCATGATAATTTTAAACTTAGCAGCTATAGCAGCAACAGCATTTTTAAGACTAAAGAAAAGAGAGAAGTGAGGTAAAGACCCTCATTAAATTTTGGATTGAATATACTCTTGCATTTTCTACCTTAGCCTTAACATCTAGTTATCATTTAGAAAAGTTTCATAGCTAAGAACTTTCAAATATTAGCTTTAATTTACCTTAGTTATTTTCACTTCCACATATGAATATAGATAGCATGGGGTTTTGGGGTTTTGGGGAATGAACTGACAACAGCTGACTAGGCTATTTTAGCTAAAGCTCCGACACCAACATTATAGTCTGTTTAAGTGATGACTTCCATTAGAATTCTTCCATCTTCTTATCTCTCAAATACATGGAAACCGAAAACTGTATAAGCTCTACTCTCACCATCAGCAGCTGCTAAGATCTCATCTGGGAGGGAACTGAAGTAAACGTACTTTTTATTTCCAGTTGTAAACTTAATCTTCTTTTCTAGGAAATCTCTGGTGAGAATGTATTTTATAGTTGACTTTGTCTGTTAATGCCAGACCATCATAGAGTTTTCGTTTTCCATTCTAGGTACCTCTGCTGATCTTAAATCCTTGTCCCACTTCACTCTTTCCTCTGGGTTATGAATTGCCTTAAGAATCATTGGTACAGTGATTCCTTTCTCAAACATATACTGAGACCAGATGACTGGAACATCTTGACATAGCTCTGATCCTTTCTACAAATGAATTTACACTCATTAAATCAAATCATACTGTTCTGAACAAGATTTTGAGCTTCTCCTCATTAACTTTAGAGTCATATTTTCCATAGTCGCTCTCCTGTAATCTTAATCTTTCGTAGAAGTCTAAAAGATTTGTCGAGTTCTATGAATTTTAATGATTAATTTAGTATATCTTGATATTATAGCAAATAGTTTGCTTAATGTTCTGTGACTTACGATCTTTAGATTTTCTTCAAATCTATTTTTATAGATAGAATCAATATCATCCTAAGTCTCATCAATATCATTCATTTAGTCTCCTAATCATGTTCAACTTTATTTAAATAGTCATACCAAAAATATCATCTTTAGCGATTCCAGTATTGTGAACCACAGCTTTCCTAAGTTGAGATGTAGAAAGTCCTTCAGTATCGGCTTCTCCTTTTCCTAAATAGATTGTTTAGTAAATTTCTTTAAACTATAAAGAAGGTTAGAGTCAGAGGTAACATTTAGCTTGATATTCTTACTTATTACTTCCTTCAGCACAGCAAATAGCACCCATATTTATTGTTTTATCTTTAATATATTAAAGTACTCAATAGAAATAAATAAAATGCCGAAATCCTACGTCAATAAATTATTTCACTAAATTGTATTATTCAAAGAATGGCGGGGTTTTGGGGTTTTGGGGTTTTGGGGTTTTGGGG